GGCATGGGGAGGGGGTCGAGGGACGCTCACCATCCGCGGGTGCGCGCAGTTCCTCCTGTTCTTGGGCGCGGGGCAACAGCTGCCGGAGCTGCGCCGGGGGCCCAGAGCACAGAGCTCGAGCCAGGCCTGGGTCCACGCCCTGCCCCACAAGCATCCGCTCGAAGCAGCCACGGGCGGAGCGGTCGTCCAGCGCCGCAGCCACCCGGGCAGCGCCGTCAGAGCACAGAGCTCGAGCCAGGCCTGGGTCCACGCCCTGCCCCACAAGCATCCGCTCGAAGCAGCCACGGGCGGAGCGGTCGTCCAGCGCCGCAGCCACCCGGGCAGCGCCGTCGGCTTTTTTTTTCGTCTGTCTCCTGCTCGCGCCCCCTACCGGCAGGGCGGAGCTTAGGGGGGTGGGGGTTCTGTAGTCCGGAGCCCACGAGCCCATGCCTTACCCGCTCGCCTCACCGAGCCTAGTGACCAGGTCCCGCAGGTCCGGCGGCCCGGCACCGTCCATACACAGCAGCGCCTCCTCCACCTCCAGGCTGTGGCCCACACTGTACCCCAGAGGTTTGTCCATGGCGGTCAGGGCCACAGCGACGCGGAGCCCCAGGCCCGCCCCCACGTGAACCTGCGGAGGTTCAGCTCAGTGTGTACTGCTCCTCTCAAGGTGAGGTCAGGGAAGGTTGGCGGTGGGGACCAGAAACGACGGATGTGCTCCCTTCTGCGGAGGGGACAGGAGGCCTAGCGCTTTGCCTGGAGTGGAGGGATGCTCCAGGGTGTGCTGAAATGAGGAACTGCCACTGGGAAGCTGGGGCCAGGCAAGCCTGCTGAGTGGACAGGCAGGTGGGGACACGAGGTGGGAAGGAAAGCTGGGCCCAGTGCAGACTCGCCCCCCAACGGGGTCCCACGGGCTCACAGCTCACCAGTGTCTTTGCCAGCTCCTTGGCCTGTTCCTGGCCAGGGAAGACTGCAGCCTCTCCAAACTTAACATCCACCAACAGAGCAGACAGTCCCTCCACTGCCTTCTTACTAAGGATGGAGGCTGTGGGGGAGGTAAAGGGGGTCCCAGACAATGGAGAGGCTGGAGCTTCCTAGGAGAGTGGGGATGCAGGCTCTGGGGTCAGTGGAGTCTACAACCCTGGGATGGGGGACAATGGCTAGTGTGGGCATCAGTTAGGCCACCCCCCAGCAACCTGCCAGGCAATGCTGTAGCTGGGAGAATCCCACAGTAAAATTAGCTCAATGAGAGGAGCCTGATGGTGAGGTTGGAGAGCAGGGCTCTAACTGGAGAAGGCAGCCCTGCAGGTCAGGTCACCTGTGACGAGGGGCAGGCTGTCCACGGTGGCCGTCACATCTCTCGCTGCATACAGTATTCCATCTGCAGGAGCCAGCTCCTTACTCTGACCCACAATGCAGCAGCCCACCTGCTCCAGCAGCACTTGCATCTGGTTGGGCACCCCCAAACCCCCAGTGACCCTTCACCAGCCTTGACACAGGCCCAAGTCCATGACCAGCAGCGACTGTCAGTAACCAATGACCGATTATGATAACCCTCAGCAGGGACTCTGCCATTGACCAGTCAATGGTCCTGGTCAAGGTTAATGATCAGTGGCCCATCAGTGATTTCATCCAAGTCCCCATTAACCTTGATAAAATTCCATGAATGCCGTTGCCCAAAGTCCAGTCCCTAGAAGGACCTATGCATAGCTGTGATGGGTGCCCATATGCGTCGCCTGATTAGTGACCCACCAGGAACTGTTAAGTGATTGTGCCTTTACCAGCTCAGATTAGTGACCAATCACTGGTCGACATCTACCTGCTCTGGGCTCTGGGTGACACTGAACCCAGGGATGGACTCCAGCTTGTCCAAAGTGCCCCCTGTGTGCCCCAGGCCACGGCCGCTGATCATTGGCACCTGTGGCCGTCACAGGGCGTTAGCACACCTGCCTCCCTCTCCTCCCACAAGGCCCCCTCACCCTCCTGGTTAGGACTCAGCTGGAATTTGAAAGTATTTGCTGGGCAGTTTCGGTGGGTAAGCTTCCTGGGTGGGGGTGAATGGGATAGAGGCTGGTGCCCAGCTCTAGGGACAGAGGGAGAGAGGCGATCAGCTCCTCCTTGGGGTTGGGAGTCCCGTCTGGGGTGCCCAAGAAGAAGGGGGTGCTGTCCAGACAGTAGAACTTGTTCTGTGTGGGTGTTGGGTGTTGGAGGCCCTGTCTGGGTCAGGCTTGGGCTGGGGAATGGCTTGTGGTGGCTGGGTTGCTGACTCTCTGGGGTCAGAGTCCCTGTCTGAAGAGGACATTGTCTCTAACCTTGCAGCCACACGCAGCCAGGGCTGGTGCCAGGACCAGGCTGACCTTGTCACCCACGCCCCCTGTGGAATGTTTGTCCACAAGCTGATGGTGCCAGGCTTCTGGCCATTCCAGCTGTTGCCCAGACTTGGCCAGGGCCCAGGTCAGCGCTGAGGTCTCCTCCAGATCCATGCCCCGCAGCCGGATGGCCATCAGCATGGCCCCTAAGTGTGGGGGACCACAGTGTGTGGGTGGGGTGCCTAGGGCCAGCCCCAGGGCAGCGGTTTCTGGAGTCGGATGTCCCCATGGGACTTGGGATCAAGGTTGGGTCAGGGGGTCCAGCCCTGTCCACACACCGATCTGCGGGCCCTGCGCGCTCCCGTCCACCACAGCGCGCACGAAGGCCCTGATGTCCCCTTTGCTCAGGCGGAGTCCGTCTCGCTTCATGCGTATCAGCTCTGGGAGCTGCCTGGGCTCTGGCGAGGCGGCAGGAGGTCCCCAGGGCCCTCCCCCTGAGAAGTCACTAGGCGCAACTGGGGCGAGTAAGGCCGGGGTTCCAGGGGTCACTGGTGCCGCCATTGCTCCGGGCCTGTAGGTGCGACACGCCCTTGGAACCTGCCACTGCGGGTGTCCCAGTCTCTGCAGCCTCGTGCCTTGTCAGACCCGCATCTGCCCCTCTGGCGCGGGTCTGTGTCTGGCTCCCGCATCTGGGCCTCACAGCCCGTCCCCGGCCCGTACCTGCTCAGTACTGCAACCCTCACCCGTCCTGCTCAGGTTTGGCCCGATTCCGCCCCGCCTTGGCGGTGGACTGGGGCAGCTCGCCGAGCCTGGGAAGCCGGAGGCGCGGGGGGGGGTAACCCCGGCCG